CCGCTTTTCCAAAAAGATAACCACTGTGATAAAGAAGAGACTTTACATAAGCTTCATCCACTAAAAGTATACAATTTCTATGGTTTTCCTCTAAATTTGAAAAAATGATACTAATAAAGTCAATATCTGAAACTTTTTTTTGTCATAGATGTAATTTTTTTAAATGTTTTTACACTTGGCAGTTTAAAATCTTTTCGTACCTGATTGTATAAGCTTCGAGACGTTGAAAAATAACAATACAACCTGATTATAGTTCTACATTATAAGTTTTTTTTCCTACTTCTGATTCATACATAGATGTAATAAGATCTTGTAATACTAACTTTTGATGATCAATTTCAATGTTGTATAAAAAGCGAATTGTTTCTTTAACTCTTGACCAGCGTTCAAGATATGTTATACAATTTTTTGATAGTGAAGAAATAAAACAACGAACACCAGCATGAAAACTTTCAAATTTTAAATTGCTTGAGATATGAACAGCAAACATAGGTACACAGTTAACATAAAAAGAATTTGATTGGATGTGCAAAACATCATTTATAACCAAAGTTGTTACAGGACAAATAAATTTACGATTTTTAATATCTTCACATAAAAAAATGAATGTTTACAAATCGTTTTTTAAATATTGCAACAACTCATTACACTTTTCAGTTCTGATAGAAGACAACACTTTAGTAGTGGACCTTGGTTTTAAAGGTTGAGTTGGTACCACACTAGCTGGAATGTTTGGAAAAATTGAAGGAGGTTCAATTGGTCTAACTTTCCCATTGACAATAGTTGTTAAAAAATTTTCTGTAAAATGTCTTTCACAGACAACAGTATCTGGTTTATTTGGAAAATTACTTCTTGGAATTGAATTTATCCAACGATTTCTTTCTTCTTCATTGGAGGGAAGCCTAAAAACTCGTACTTTATTTTTAACATCATAGTTTCGTCTACATTCAGGAACACAGCACTTTTTAACCTTTTATTGTAACAATGAACTACTCACAAATCGAACTGTTAAAAAACTTTCCGTAGGATTGTCCGCCCCCAGTCAAAAATACGGGAAAGCCTGTAACAAGTATCGTCATTAGGGTGTTTCATTGTTTAAATCAAACTCGCGAATCGATTTATAAATTGACCATTTGTATGAAAATAAGTTTAACCAAAAAAAAAAAATTTTTTTAAATTTAAATTTTAGGGTCCCCGCCTTTTTTTATTCTTTTAAATGTTATATGTTGGATTGAATATTAATCACATAAATGGAGCATGTTGAAAAAATTAAGAAATTAGTCTACAGAATCTTCTGAAATTGGTGAAAAATCCAAATTTTCCTTCTTAAAAATCTATTTTATCACTCAATCGCGTATAAAAAACATTTTTGATTTTCTAATAAACTGTTTCCAGACGCGGAAAAATCAATAACCTAGATTTTTTTAATAATAGTGTCAAATGAGGTATATATAGGTCTAAAAAAAAATTTCTTTTATCCTTCGAGGTAACCTAACCCTTAAATGATTTTCTTGGTATTGTTGCAAAGTTTTTTTTGGTTTTGTAAAAAATCAAAAAAAAAAAAAAAGAAAGATATGTTTAAGTATAATTAAATTAAAAATACATATTTACAAATCAATATTACATCATTAAATAAAAGCCATCATTTAAAAACTATATTATCTATTTTGCAATTGCTTGATATGCTAGTTGCAAATCTTCTTTAGTCTTTGCCTTGTTAAGGTTTTCTCTCCTTTGGTGAATAGCTAGCAGTAACTGCTGTCGATCGTCTTTATTGTGAACGTTATTTACAAAGTCTGAAACAACTTTGATAGATCTTTCAGAAACGTCGTTAACCACTGCAAGGTTGGAAACAAACTGGGAAAAAATCTTAAACTGTTCAATATACTCCCATAGTGGTGCCGGGCTGTTTTAACAAAGTTTATCATTTAGCTTAGTAAGGTTTAACAAACTAAATATGAACCAAGAGTTTTCTCCCACTAGTTGGGCAATACTTGGTGGTTTTTCTAGGTTAATGTTAAGAGTTTTTAACAAATTTAATTTCATCAAGGTACCATAAATGTGATTTCATTGAAACCATTGTGGCATCAATTCCATTTAAAATTGTTTCAGAATTCTGAACATAATGTTTTACGTAGCCTCTATATTTTGTCATTTGCCAATAGGCTTTTATATCTTGGTAAGGCGCAGCGTAAGGTAAAGAAGTTTTTAAAAACCAGACGGTATAAAAGATCGAGATAAACTCAGCCGTAGACTGCACTTCGTTCTTTTGATTTTCTGTCAATTCATGAGAAAGTTGCAAACTCAATATCTGAATCTTGAGATAATAAATAGCTTTGGACATAAAACGTGCATGAGACACGCACCCTGGAGCTTGATTTTGAAAATCTCTTTCAGGGCATAAGTACATTAGAGTCAGTTTCATTAACTCCTTGTAGTCTCCTCTGGGAAAAGTGTTTTTTTTTAGAGCAATCTCGCAATATTTTACAGCATCGAGTCTATGGATTTCTAAGAAAGTGGTAGCAATAGATTGGGTATCATATTTTACAAACTTTGAAGAGTCAATGCTACTTTTAATGTCATTCCAGTTTAATTGGAACCGTTTAAACTTTAGGTTTTCTGGAGATTTAGTTTTTCCACTGCACTGTCTTTCACATAAGTGTTTTAGATGTAACTCATAAACATGCCTCCTGCAAGCCAGCTCTAGTAGAATTGAGTTTTGTTTATGACTAAACCTGACATTTGTACCAGAAAGTCTTCCTGTATTTGTAGCAGTTGTATCAAAACATAAACCTTTCACGTCATTACATATTCCATACTCATCCAGTATTTTAACTAAAGCATCTTATTGAGCTTGTCCAGTACCACGATCAATTGCTGGAATGCCAAGGAGCTTCATTTTACCATCAATATTTACCGAGACCGCAAATCAATCTCTTTTTGATTTTATACCTTCTGTGATGTCTTCGATAATTTTTCCATCAAAATGTGCTATTATGGGAAAAGTAGCTTTAGCGGTAGCAATTTTTACATTTTTCTTATATTGTTCAGCATTTTACCGAATAAATTTTTTTTGAGCTCGCCAAATAGTTGAATGAGACACTGAAAAATCAGCCACATTTCCGCCTGAACTTACGATTAAATCCGTACATACATGCACTAGATCTCTTGATGAAATATTTTTTGAGACTGATGTCATCGCAATATCTTTAACAAAACCTTTCCTTAACTCTTGTTTTGCGTTACTTGGGCCGGGTTGCGATAAATCAAAAGAAATATCTAATTCTGTACTCACGTCATTGATATCTGAGAAAAGCTCTAGATCTGTAGTTGATTCGTCTATTTGGGGTAACTGTTTAATATTACAACTTTTTAAAGGCTTCTTATCTTTATTTACCGTTTTATATCTCATGTCTTTGCTCCCCAAAGTCATTAGACAACTGGACTTTTGGTCTTTTAAAAATTTGATATCAACATAGTATGAAAGTTTATCAAGGCTCGTTTTTTTTAAGATTTCCTTAATATTATCTTTACCAATCCAAAATACCTCCTCCCCCTTCTTTTTGAATTCTTCCCTAGATTTCTCTGCTGCTTTAGAGTCCTTATTCTTACTTTTCTTTAATGTCTCCCAACTATAGATTAAACGAGTAATATTATTCCTGAAAAAATTACGATAATACATTAAATAAAATAGAAATATTAACTTTAAGATGCACATTATATTTTGTATTATTAGGCTATAATCCACACGTAATAAGAACTAAAAAAAATTAGTTGTAGTGGTACTACAAAAAAACCTTAATCATCTACTAGCTTATTAAGTTCAAATGATTATACAAATTTATAATAACTATTTTATTATAAATTGAAATTATAAAACTTACCTTATAGATTTATCCGTTAATAATCCATCTTTATAACCTCCGTCTAACCATGGTTTTTTTACTGCAAAAAAAATACAGTTGTCAGGGCAATTGACAAGTCCGGAGCACTTTGCGAATTTATCGGGCCCATCAGTACAACCAATAAACTTTTTGGATGGAGTTAACTTGTTACTAGATCTTTTAAACTGAAAGTTAAGAATTAATTCTTTATTTGTTGCAAAAGTTATTTGAGTCAAGTTTTTTATCAGGCTTTCTTCTTTAAATAAATAAGCTCTAGCTTTTTGTCTCGTAATTTTAGCCATTTTGAATATTATTTAAAAAAATATTAGAGCACTTATTATTAGTAACGCAAATTTAGTTTAAATACTTTGTCTTCGCATCGGAAAGTAGTTGTTAAATTTTAAATTATTATTTAAGTACCTTGGTATATACATTTTCTAAAAATATTTTCCGATCAAGTTTCCGGATTTTAAATTTATTGCGCTCTAATGTTTATTAAGTAGGGGCCATTAAGGTTAATGTCAGGGTCATGTTACTCCATGGATCCAATTATTATTATTTTTTAGACTTAATTTAACTAATAAAAAAACTATTCAAATTATAGTTTTTTCCGTGTTTGGAAACAGTTTATTAGGAAAAAAAAAAGTTTTTTATACGCCACCGAGTAATAAAATAGGTTTTTGTGAAAGAAAACTTGGATTTTTCACCAGTTTCAAAATATTCTGTAGACTAATTTCTTAATTTTTTCGACATGCTCCTTTTATGTGATAAACATTCAATCCAACATATAACATTGAAAAAAAAAAAATTTAGATAAATTTTAAGGTCCCCGCCAGGCGTTTAAAACACCCGACAATTTTGGCCCAAAATCGAACTGGCGGGGACCCTAAAAAATATTTTTTTTTTTTTTTTTTGCTCAAACTTATTTTTATACAAATATTCAATTTATAAATCGATTCGCGAGTTCGATTTCAAAAATTGATAAAATATGAAACACCCTAATCGTCATGTTATGAAATGTTTATTTTTCGCTGTAATGATTTTCACTCAAGCATGACGAGTTTAGAGCCATTCAGCATTAGAGATCATAAATTATGCATCACATAATTTTGTTATTAAACAAAACACAAGTTTACCTTCGCAGAGCCATTAATTAAATAAACAATCAGTATTGGCCATCAAGTTTAACAGTAATCACCACACAAAAAGAGAAAACGATCTCCTACTTCTATTTTTTAGCATTGCGTAATTTATGGGCGTTCTTCTTCCTTACAAGTCTCGAATAGAAAAATAGTACTTTAATAATTCCAAGAATTTTAAGGTTCCAAGAAAAGAACGTTGTTTTGCACCTGTTTTTTGTTTTTTTTCGATTGTTCCATTTTATATTGAAAAGTTATTAGGTTATATTGTTTATTAAATATGTTTGTTCAATGAAATCAATCATAATATATTAAATATATAAGAGTATTACACAAAGGTATTTTTTTTCTAGATTCTATTTTGTGATGTTTTTGTTTAAAAAAAACAGACTTTTGCACAAGAATTCTGTAGGAGAAAGTGCGAGTAACTCGTGACTTGCATGTTGGGGAAAAAAGTTGTGAGATGCAACAACACTTTCTCCTGACTTTTTTTACTGAATTCTTTTAGTTATAAAATGCAATTAATTATAATGCAACATATTATAATTAATGCAATATATTGTAATTAATTATAATGATTAAAATTAATCTTACTACGTTTAAATGCTAAAATGAATTGTTTTTATGAGAATACTTTAAACGTTCAAGTAATTAAAACTGGGGGTTCAGTAAAATTTAGACTTATAGGTATTCAAATAAACAGAAATAAAAAAAATTAAAAAAAAAATCTATTTTACTTATGTCAAATTAATAAACAACAATTCATGAAATTAATAAATAAATTGGAATAAATTCACATAAAAATTTTTACAAATAATTTTAAATAAATATTTTACATTTTTCAACTACATTTAAGAAGTATCAAAGCCATCGAATACATTTTTTATCACACTGAAGTAACACTTAAGGACACTGAGTTAACACTTAAGGACACTGAATTAACACTTAAGGACACTAAAGTAACATTTAAGAACACTGAAGTAATACTTAAGTACACTGAAGTAACACTTAAGGACACTGAAGTAACACTTAAGGAAACAGTTTCAAATTACTTCTCAATTATTTTAAACTCTAGTCCATCACGGATATTTGAATGGGTACCATTATGAATGGGTACCATTATGTTTTAAGTTATAGCTTAGGTTTACGATTAATTTAGTACTAATTGAATGACGTATTTTCTGATTTTATTCAACTTTAATAAAACTATTACATATGGCTGATAACAATGATTTTTTACCAAATTTTTCTTAAAGGAATTGCATTTTTTAAAAATCGGTAAAAAATCATCGTCATCAGTTAAAAGTTTTATTATAGTTTAGTGTGCTTTAAAGCACACTAAACAAAACTGTAGAACCATTAAAAATAAGGAAGTTGTATATTATGTACTTGTATCGCCAAAAATGTATTAATGAAATTGAAATTTAGTTCTGATCTTACTTTTTTTTCTCTCTCTTGTAAATAAAATGCTCCAAAATTGACAAAAAAGTCTTGCTAAAGAACTTAGTGGTTAGTTAAAGACAAACGTAGTGTCTCAATGTAGCGGGTTAGTGGTGTTTCAGTGGTAGTGTGGTGGTCAATGTTGATGGCGTGGTGATTAGCGGTGGTGGAAAGTATTTGTAGATTAAATTTAAACCTACAGTAACTTATTTATTAATTACCACTGTACCAAAATTACAGTCTTTTCTTTCTATTTCAAGTCAATAAATCTAAATTAAAAACAAAAAAGTATAAGTTTATGCGTAAGGAAAGATTTTAATGTTTAACAAAGTAATAAATTATAAAAATCACTCATTATGTGCACTGGTTACCCTAAAGTTGTAAATCAATATGACTGATTTAACTAAGGCTAAGCAAAAAAACAACTCTGGATATAATTAAAAACTCTTTTGGGCAATTAAATAAATAGCTGTAACGAATAAAAACTTAAATTATAGTACGGTTAAAAGGTTTTAAAGTGCAACGTTACCAATCTCAGTGTCAGGGCCGGCGCGAGTAGGTGTCATCAATCTCAGTTTGTTTTTCATTGTGGTGATAACTTATAATAACTCAACAACTTAACATTAAAGTCCAATTTTTCCTTTCTTATCTACAATTAAAATTTAATTTATCAAATTATTTTTTTTATTTAATATAAAACCATTTCGAAAATCAAATTTAAAGTTTAATTAAGATAGATAGAACTTAGATCCGACCTTCAGCAAACTAAAAGAAAATAAAAAATATAACTATAATATATTATAAAACATTTAACTATAATATAACAGAAAGTTAATTTTTAATAATTGAAATATTATTGAAATCTCAGATTAGTTGGTGAGGTTGGGTTCTGTTTAAACACCTTTATTTAGAAATTTAGCCAACAGGTTTTGATGAGTTATATCGTGTGATATCCCCGGCTATGATAATCTATGATATCCTGAAGGTAGGAACATTAGTCACAATTTTAGTAGCCATCTCTTGACAACCAATGGTTGATGGCAAATATCAAATGCAATAATATAATATTCTAATTCGTAACCAATAAACTATTAAAAAGTTTCCGTAAATTTAAGGAAATTACACGGGTTCTATTTTAACTTCATAAGTTTTTTCTGTTAAACAACGGGAACGTTCTGAGTTGTACTCAGAACTTCAACCGGCCTATACTCTTATTAATTGATAACATCTAATCCAGGTAATACGTGATTGTTTCGTGTGTTTCCAGCACGCATATTTATATTCTCTTTTTCTCCATTTATTTAACCATAAATAATGAAAATTTACAACGATAAGTTATAAATTTACATAAATAAGGTTAGGTGTCACTCATATAGTTGAAAACTAGTCAATTGAGTGACACCAAAAAAAAAGAAAAAAAAGAAAAAAGGAAAGAAAGATAAGCAACAATATACAATACAAAGATATATAAAAAAAAAAAAAAAAAAAAAAAAAGAGGAAAAGAAAGTTAAAAGTAATAATATTTATAAAAACTAGCAAAAGGCAACCCGTAATACGGGTTTTGGTCGGTCTGTTACATAATTAATTTATAGTAGCTGTTTTCCACAATTTAATCTTGCAAAACCTTAACTAACCCTTTTAGAAAATTGCCTTCAGCTTGAAAAAATTAATCCATCTGTAAAATTAACATAAAAATTATGAGGAGGTAAAATAATTTACCAACTACTACTTAACATTATTAAGTAATTTACAAATGGCACAGGTCATAGCAGTGTAAGGCAGAACCATTTTCATCGACCTTCCTAAGTTTAACACAATACGTTTTTAGTTACTGACGCAAAATAATAACACTTGGTTATACTTTAAATTGACGAAAGTGTCAACTAAATCCTTAAATTAATTTTTATAACACTAACCATTAAGATTAAAATGAAGTTAACTTATATTATACAGGAGTTATCAATTTTTTGTTATCCCCTTGATTAATTGTTCTTTAGAAAAGAAAATTGTTAACTTAAAAATATTAAATGCACACGTTTAAATAAATTTATAAAAAATAACAAAGTTTATTATACTACGCAACTGAGTACGAATACCTTTCAAACAAAAGAAAATTTAATTTACGATCAAACATAGGTATAACAAATTTTTTAATACATTAATGCATCATAGAACAAACTAAAATAAAAATTATAAGAGATAAGTAGACATAAAAATTTGTAAACCAAGCTGACCCGACCCGGGTCTTGTTAAGTCTGTTCAACACAGACCATTTGTATATTATTTATTTGGCTTCTTTATTTCATAAAATTTTTAGTAAACGGTAATTTGCCACCATTTACTAAAAATTCCTTTTGTAACTCGAAATTTAATTTTTCTAAATATTTTGGCTCTAATAAAGAGGTTCCTTCCCTCTTTTTGCTTTAATGGTGGCCTGGTGAATAAAATAAAATATTAAAATGTAAAACAATGATCTACTTATATAAAAATGTTTTCTTTCTTTCCTCAAAAGTGTTGCAAATACAGACTAAGCTAACTAATTAGTTAAACACATAAATAAAACTTAAGTAACTCGATATTAATGCGCAAAACTACAATATTCTCCATATTTTTAAAGGTTTTTAGTTACGACCGCCCATTCAACCCATACGACCCCCCAATCAATTATCTCTCTACAATTCTCAATACTAATTCTTATTTAAGTCTCATCTAATAGAGAGAGGAAGTGTTTTAAAAACACCATGTTAGAAAAAGTAAAAAAGTCATGCAATAAATAACAGTAACTGGTTTTATTATGCTACCAATAAACAAAATTATTTTTACCTTAACTAAAAGTTAATTTCCAGCATTTCTTAATTTATTTCCAGCTTCTAACTGTTGACAAATGATTAATAATGTAAATTTCACATCATATTAAATTTACAAAATTAAAACCATGTTTCAACAGTAAGCAAAATAATCAAGTGATGACAAAGACAACTAAAAAAAAAATGAACAATTATATTAAGATTACAAAAGTAAAAAAAAAAAAAAAAAAAAAAAAAAAAAAAAAAATCATTCAAAACTGAAATTTTTATTATTTGTTACTATAAATAGTAAAATTCATACTTTGCTTTATTTTAAAGTGTCTAATGTAAAGTCAAATAATAGACATCAACAGCGCTTGACACTAAAGTTCATCAAGCAAAATTTCTTATATTTCAACGACAATTAATTTTATCATGCCTAGATCTATTTATTTCATATGACAACAATTTCAAGTCACCTATAACCATTTACACTAATAACTTCTTCGAGCCTAATATTATAAATCTGTTATCATTAAATATATATTACCAGTGGTTATGCTACTGTTACAACTGAATAAATGAACGTTTTATATTTTTACAACTGAAAAATATAAAACAAAATTTATTTACATTATTTTAATTTAGCAAAGAATTTAGAACACAGTGCAAAGTTATTTGCATTGTGTTCTAAATTCTTTGCTAAATTAAGAAAGCCTTCAGGCACAATCTTAATGCACAAAAATAATAAATGCAGAATCTTGTATAAAAAATGAAGCAATGTCAGTCTAAAGTAATATAAATGTATGTATATATATTCAAATTTTTTCTATTCTTAATTTTTTCTGAGATAATATTCATATAGATTCAGAGAAATATAAAATATTCCGATATATAGGCACATTTAAGTATATAAACTTACCTGTCAAAAATTACAGTCAGTTTTTCATGTTAAATACATAAAATATATATCTAATATAAAATTAAACAAAAAATTAAACTTACTCAAATCAGTAACAGTTCGACTGTCTAAATATTTTTATTATTAACCCTTCTATTTAAAAAATAAAAACAAATGATTTGAAGTAACTAAAAAGCACTTTAGCTCTTTC